ATATATTTTATTGATTTTTTTTTTGCAGAGAGGAAGGGAGAGGGATAGAGAGCTAGAAACATCCATGAGAGAGAAACATCGACCAGCTGCCTCCTGCACACCCCCCACCGAGGACGTGTTCGCAACCAATGTACATGCCCCTGACCGGAATTGAACCTGGGACCTTTCAGTCTGTAAGACCAACACTCTATCCACTGAGCCAAACAGGTTTTGGCTGGGTTTTTATCAGAGCCCGAGGGACCCGGGTAAAGGAATGCCTGATGCCAGCCCACCCCAGCCTTCCTGTCCCACTTGGGGGAGGAAAGGGGAAGCTGAGAAACACTGAGAAAGCTACTCTCAAGCGTGGGGACTTAAAGCCTGAGGACTAATCCCAGGGCTACAGGGCCCTCCCTGACCTCCCCCACCCCCACCCAACCTCCCAGCCACACGGCCAAGGCCTACGGACAGCAGTTCCTTCCGCCCAGCCTGTCACCTCTACTAGCAAGAGAAAGTACAAGGCTTACCAACAGGCAGGAAACCCCAGACGGACAGACCCAACCTCAGAACCAAACATCTAAAGCACATGTGTCAAACACAAGGCCCGCGGGCCAAATCTGTCCCGCCAGGCCTTGCAATGTGGCCCGCACCGTGCTGTCATCACTGCACTCCACTGCGTTTCCATCACAATGACAGTTTATGACTGTTCAGTAAACCATTCGGCCCGCGATTTAGGCTGGATTTTAGATTTTGGCCCCTTCTCTGATTGAGTTCGACACCCCTAATCTAAAGACTGCTTCCTCCAACAGCAGCAGACGCATGCAAAACATTCACCATAGACCACAGTCCAGCCACAGAACACACCTTAACCAGTTGTTGTTGTTAATCCTCACCCGAGGATATTTTTTCCATTATTTTTTTTTTTTCAGAGAGAGGAGAGAGAGAGAGAGAGAGAGAGAGAAACATCAATGTGAGAGACTCATCAACTGGTTGCCTCCCACACTCATCGCTACAGGGGGAGGGGGGATCAAACCCACAACCCAGCTATGTGTCCTTGATTGGGAATCGAACTTTGACCCTTCGGTCCTAGGGCCAACGCTCTAACCACTGAGCAAGCTGGCCAGGGCCACGTTAACAAATTTAACAGAAATCATACAACGGCTGCTCTCGGACTACAGTAGACTTAAACTAGAAATCAGTAACAGAAAGATAACTGAAACCACCACCACCACCACCCCAAAAAATGTGGAGATTTAACAGCATCATTCAAAAGAACACATGAGTCAAGAGAAATCTCCAGAGAAATTTTTAAATATTTTCAACTAAATTAAAGTGAAAATACAACCTATCACAATGTGTGGCCCTCGCCAGTGTGGCTCAGGTGACTGAGTGTCATCCCCTGTACCAAGAGGTAGAGGTTGCCCTTTCGATTCCTGATCAGTGTACATGCCCAGCTTACTGGTTTGATCCCTGGTCGGGGTGGGTGTGGGAGGCAAAAATCTCTCTCTCTCTCTCTCTCTCTCTCTCTCTCTCTCTCTCTCTCTCTCTCTCTCTCTCTCTCCCTTCCTCTCTGTATAAAAATCAATAAAATATATTTAAAAAAAAAAAAAAATCAGTTAAAAACATTTTTTGAAAAATTGTGGGATACAGTGAAAGCAGAGCTTAGAGGAAAATAGCATTGAATGCATATATTAAAAGAAAAGAAAAAAAAGAGAGAAGAAAGATCTAAAATCAATAACCTAAGGGCCCACTTTAGGGAACTAGTAAAAGGAGGCCAATTAAATCCAAAAGGAGCAAAAGAAAAGCAGCACTAAGGAGCAGTGCAGAAATCAGTGAATTTAAAAAAAGAAAATCAATGGAGAAAATCAATGAATTCAAAAACCAATTCTTCAAAATAAATAAATAAATAAATAAAATCAGTTAACCCCTAGCTAACCTAAGGGGGGAAAAAGAGAGAGGACACAAATAACTAACATCAAAAATGAAAGCAGAGAATCACCACTGATCCCGTGGACTTTAAAATGTAAACAATGGCCCTATCCGGTTTGGCTCGGAGGATGGGGTGTCGGCCTTTGGACTGAAGGGTCCCAGGTTCGATCCCAATCAAGGGTTCCTTCCCTCGGGTGCAGGAGGCAGCCAATCAATGATTCTCTCTCATCATTGATGTTTTTATCTCTCTCTCCCTCTTCCTTCCTCTCTGAAATCAATAAAAATATATTAAAAATAAATCAATGTAAACAATTGGAAGACGATGAACAACTCCATGCCCACACATTTGATAACCAGTGAGCAGCCCAGTCTGACGTGTTTGCACTTGGATTATTTCATCGATGATCCGAGTTCACCCAGGCTCTCTGGCCTCAGACAAGGGGAGTATCTGCCCAGAAGAAAAAGTCTAGGATTCCACTCTTTGCCATCGGACCTGTTTTTCAGGTGATTTTAGGATCGACCTTCTGACCCTGCTTCCAGCCACCGAGGCTTCTAAAACACTGAGGTCCATGCCAAAACCGGTTTGGCTCAGTGGATAGAGCGTCAACCTGCGGACTGAAAGGTCCCGGGTTCGATTGCGGTCAAGGGCATGTACCTTGGTTGCAGGCACATCCTCAGTAGCAGGTGTGCAAGAGGCAGCTGATGGATGTTTCTCTCTCATCGATGTTTCTAACTCTCTATCCCTCTCTCTTCCTCTCTGTAGAAAAATCAATAAAATTATTCAATCCGCAGACTGACGCTCTACCACTGAGCCAAACCGGCCCTGGCTAAAATATATTTTTTAACTAAAAAAATAAATAAAACACGGAGGTCCAGTCCCAGAGCGGGCCAGTCCAGCCAGCAAGGGGTGGATCCTGGTGGTGAGCAAACATGGACAGAGCATTCAGACGCCTGGTCATCTGTCTACTGGGCTCCCAGCCCCAGAACTGGCCTGGGCAAGGTCTACTGGGAAGAACTGGTGTCAAGGCTGGACTAGCCTGAGTGTGGGCACAGTGGTACGCTGCCAGGGCCCAGTGAGAAGAAGCCACGGGCCCGGGTACAAGAGTGAGAAACCTCCCTTTCTTGGAGACACCTCTGAGAAAACGGAGTTGGCATGGGACCCTTCAAGGCCATGGGACACTCGGGGACGACAGGTGAGATGAGTACAAAGGGGGCCTTCACCGATGCTTTGCTAAGCCGGTGCAATGGAAACCTGGACACATCGTTGGAAACAACATTCGAAAAATGGTGTGTGAGCCAAAACCGGTTTGGCTCAGTGGATAGAGCGTCAGACTGCAGACTGAAAGGTCCCAGGTTCGATTCCAGTCAAGGGCATGTACTTGGTTGTGGGCACAACCCCAGTGGGGGATGTGCAAGAGGCAGCTGATTGATGATTCTCTGTCATCAATGTTTCTATCTCTCTATCCCTCTCTCTTCCTCTCTATAAAAAATCAATAAAATATATATTTTTAAAAGAAAATGGTGTGTAAGAGCAAGTTAGCAGTGAAGCACCTTCTCACATCCTAGATTCACATTCTATCCATAGATAAAGTGCTAGGACATAAACCTCCTGAGGAATCCCTACAGAGACAGTCACCTGAAAGGGACCTAGAATCCTATCACATTTGTGTCTACCCGTCCCTCTGAGACCTGCCTTTTTAAATATATATATTTTTTTTATTGATTTCAGAGAGGAAGGGAGAGAGAGGAACATCCATGATGAGAATCATTGATCGGCTGCCTCCTGCATGCCCCCACTGGGGATCGAGACCACAACCTGGGCCTGTGTCCTTGACCGGAATTGAACCTGGGGCCTCTAAGTCCACAGGATGACGTTCTATCCACTGGGCCAAACCGGCCAGGGCTAGACCTGCCTTTTTAAGAGTCTGCTTATAGTAATTAAGATCGTTCCACAATATGCCCAGCCAGTGTGGCTCAGTGGTTGAACATCAACCTATGAACCAGATCATGGTTCGATTCCAGGTCAGGGCACATACCCAGGTTGTGGGCTCAGTCCCCAGTAGGAGGCATCCAATTAATGAGTCTCCCTTTTCCTTCCTCCCTGAAATCAATGACATTAAAAAAAAAAAAAAAATAGCCCCTCATTGCCCTGGCCAGTGTTGTTCCTTGCTTAGTGTGTTGACTCCAGCTCTGAAGAGTCATGGGTTGGATTCCCAGTCAAGGGCACGTTCCTGGGTTGCAGGTTCGATTCCTGGCCTGCGTCAAGGCAGGTATGGGGGCAACCAATTGACGTCTCTCTCACATTCGTTTCTTTCTCTTTCTCCCCCTCCCTCCCTTCCACTCTCTCTAAAAAACAATGGAAGAAAGGACCGGCCACAGCAGAAACGATTAGCCCCTCAGACGCACCTGCACTCGCAGCTTTGCTACTTCTACTGAGGAGTCACAGTTCCTGTCCTGAGCTTTTTATTGGAACATGAGAATATCCCATGACAATTTAAGTGGAATCTCTGAGTGGGAGGACCAGCCTATAACTGACATACCAAGTATGTTTGTGGATACAGGGACAGTGCGGGAGAAACAATTGCCAGCGGTGTGGGTGGAAGGGAACAAAACCCTGGAGACTTGACAGGGGAAGAGAAAACACAGAAAGCTCCTTTGAAGAACAGTGTTTTATTCTGACGGGTGAGCCACGAAGGACCTATTCAAGGTGGCAAGTCCCCCACCCCGCCCCATTCTGAACCTCCTGGGCCCGGAGACAGGCTCCACAGGCTGACAGTCATGGTCCCAACAAGACTGTCTTCACTTCAAACACCAGCCACACTTCAGTGGTCTCCAGGCCGCCCGCACTGCTGACCGACTGGCCACAAACCCAGAAGGTCCCCCTGACGTCTTGGTCCAGGCTGCTATCACAGAAACACTGAGGAATGGAAAATAACTGAAACACCATGCACTGGGTGGCTTACACAACTAACATTTCTCTCTCACAGTTCTGGAGGCTGGAAACCCAAGCTGCACGTGCTGGCAGGTTTCGTATCTGGTGTCTCTTCCTGTGTCCTCACACGGCCGAAGGGACAAGGGGGCTCTGTGGGCTCTTGTATGAAGGGCACTAATCCCAGCCAAGAGGGCTCCACCCTCAGGACCTAATCACCTCCATTTCCATCACATTGGGGGTTAGGTTTCAACATCTGGCTCTTGGGGCTACACAAGCATCCAGTGTATAGCACACGACCCCCTTCAGGTTGGATGATTCACTGGGACTCACAAAGCTCAGAAAAGGGCTCCACTTAACGATTAGTTTGCTTATCAACAATACAAATCAAGACCAGCCAAAGGAAGACACCCAGAGTGCCGTCTCGGAGGGACCCAAGTGCAGAGCTTCTGAACCCTCCACCCTCCCCACGGCCGTGGAACCGGGATGTGTGGCTGTGTTCAGCAGAGCTTCAGTGTCCAGAGGTTTTTTTTCGGAGTTTCATTACAAAGGCATAACTGATTGAATCCATCTCCTGGCCCTCTCGCCTCGTGGAGGTCAGGCGGGCTCCAAGTCCCAACCTTCTAAACTCATGGTTGGCCTTTCTGATGACCAGGCCCCATCCTGGGTCATCTCAACTAGCATAAACGCAGGCTTGACCCAAGGGGCTGTGAATGACAGACACTCCTCTTTGCTGGAAACCACAATCATTGTTACTAATAAAAAGAGATGTGCCAGGAAAGGCTGGTCAATCTTAATTGCTCTGAAAGGTTGGAGCTAATCACTCATTGTTCAGTTGAGACACTTGTTTAGTTAAAGCAGCCTCCACCTGTTCCTCTTACGTAAATTCTTGCTGATTGGCTATTATTGGAATTTCCTGCCTAAAGGATATGGGTGTATCTTATAACCTAAATAAAAAGGATAGCAAAGCCAAAGAAAGGTACCTCGGGTGTTTCCCCGAAAATAAGACATCCTCCAAAAATAAGACCTAGTGCATGGAAAGATAAGACATCCCCTGAAAATAAGACCTAACGCAACTTTTGGAGAAAAAAATTAATATAAGACACTGTCTTATTTTCAGGGAAACAGAGTAGTTCTCCCCATAGAGGTAGGCTCCCACCTGGCCCCCCCAGTTCCCAAATAACTTTCTAGTCTCTTTCATTTGTGTGCGGCCTTCTCCAGAACCCGAACCCTGAACCGGAACCCTGAACCACGAGGGATGTGAAAGGGGCTCCTACACCTCTTCCTGGGGAAATGCCAAGGATTCAGAATTTCCCCTCTGGAAACCAGGGACAAAGGCCAGTCAAATTCTTTATTATAATAGTCTCCCCTTATCCATGGTTTCACTTCCACAGCTTCAGTTAGCCATGGCCAGTGGTGGTCTGAAAATATTAAATGGAAAATTCCGGAAACAACCAATTCATAAGTATTATATTGTGCACAGTTCTGAGTAGCATGATGAAGTCCCACCCCATCCCACCTGGGTAGGTAAGCCATCCCTTCACCACTTAGTAGCCTTCTCAGTTACCAGGTTGGTTATCAGATAGATACTTGAGAAAGAGAGAGGGAAAGCACATTCATATAACTTTCATTACAGAATATTGTTATAACTGGCCTCTTTCATTATGTTATTATTGCTAATCCCCTTACTGTGCCTAATTTTATAAATGAAACTTTATCATATGTACATACCCCACAGATAAGAGATGACTTGATATAACAACCTCAAACCCACAACTCATACCCCTGCGAACTAGGATAAAATCACCCGACAGGGCCTATCACTGGCCTGAGCTATGCTTTGTTTCATTCTTAAAACTTTTTATCATGAAAATTTTCAAAATATGCAACAGTGGAAAGAATATCTTCATGAACTATCCCATCCCGTAACCGTTTCATTGATTACCGGCTTGTGGCTCATCCTTCCATTCATACCCCACCCCTTCTCCCTACACCCATCCTCGGGTTATCCTGAAGCAAAGCCCAGAGGGATATCCTATCAGGAATTCTCACCCACGGCCAGTCTCAAATGGGCTATAGGTCTGCTGACATCTCAACATCTGGGAGCAGCCGGGTGGGGCCTGGGGGACACAGGCCCCGGGCATCTCATTCGCTCACGCCGGTGTGATGGGTAACCCTGTCTACACACACGGAGCTGCAAGAAAGAACACCAAACACCCGTTTCCTACATCCCAAGCTTCTAAGGCAAGTCAGCAGCGATGGTCCTCGCATTTCTTGCAAGTTTCCAAAGACCCATGCCTAGAGCCCTGATGATCTTGTAAAGAATCAAAGCTAAAATAAAATAAGCTCAAGAAATAACATCTCAGGTACTTGCGATGGTAACAAAAAAATCAATGGGGGTCAGCCTAAGCTAAGCGGTAACCTGTCCATTATCGATTTCAGAGTCGTTAAGACAGGAGGAACTAGCCAACCGGTCTTAAAGAGTACAGAAACTTGACCCTGACACCTTTGCTTTGTCATGCCAGAGTGACCGACAGTCCCTGACACCCACGTCTGGGATGTATTTTTTATGTTCGTGTCTCTGGAAATTTCTGACACTTCCCTGGGGTGCCAGGACGCGGGCAGGAGGCATCTCCTTCAGGATGGGTTGGCGAGAGCAGTAAGCGTCACCCATACCTCCCCATTTGACTTACTCTGCAAAGCGAGAAGTCAGATGAATGCAAAGGTTCCTCCAACCCTGGGACTCCAGGGTCAGGCAGTAGCCCCACAAGGCGAGGGAATGGAAGGTTGGAGACAGTGAGGCGTGCCATGCCTCACTCACATCTCCAAAGCACCTTGCCCAGAGCTTGGGTTACCTACTTGCCTCTCTTATAACCAGAGGGACGTGTGCTTCCCTATCCCGCCCCTGTCAATGGCCGGGGAAGCGCCCTCTCTGTGGCCCTCATTTCTGCGGGCGGGAGACACAGGAGGACCCTGGGTTCATCCTGGGCATTCTCCTCTCGGCCCCGCTGACCCCCGAGTATGACTTGGCTCCAGACAAGGCTACCATTTCAGAAGGTCAATGAAGATGCGTTTGTCCATCTCCGAGAGCAGAGAAGAATCATCAGAGAACCTTTCTTCCTCGTAGCAAGGGAAGAAAACCTTGGATACCCACAATGTCAGCTTCTGCAGGGGAGCCTCCCCTACAGAGACGGTCTCTCCCCCAAGGAAGTGACAGTCCTTGTCGGGAGATGACACAGATGCACACTTCTGTCATGAACACCCCGTGCTCTGGGCCTGACGAGGGAGTGCCAGCACAAGGCCAGAGAGGCTTTACCTTCTCAAATAGCCACACGAAAAGGCTTGGGGTCCCCAGACCCTAATGGTGACCGCTTTTTCATACCACAAAGATAAGGTGACCAGACGTCCCGATTGTTAACAATTTGTCCCGCGTCCCGCAGTGTTTTAAAACAGTCCCGATTTTTCCTCTTTTTAAAACGCCCCGGGACGAGGGACAAATTGTTAGAAATCGGGACGTCTGGTCACCTTACCCAAAGAGCCTGGCCTAAGCTCTTCCGTGGGGCAAACCCAGAGCAGGACTTATTTCACCACCAGGGGGTGAAATTCCTCCCACTCACATCCTGACATGAGGATGTATAGAAGTTCCAGCCAGCCATTCCCTCCAGCCCCTTCATGGACCAGGGTTGTTTTCACTGCACAGAAACACTGCAGCAAAACAGCCCCTCGTGCTAGAGTCTGCAGCTTGTTCCCTCGCGGACCCTTCCGGTCTTCCTGAGCCCTGGCCTGGCCCGTGCCCGCATCTAGGATTGGCTCAAAGGAAGAAGACATCGACAGGGGCGAGGGCCAGCGACAGGCCTCCGACTCGTGCAAGAGCCCGCGGTGGGCCAGCAGCCTGTGGCCGGGATGAACAGGAAGTTGCTGTTCCCCATGGGATCTGCTAGAACACATGTGTCAAACACAAGGCCCGCGGGCCAAATCCGTCCCGCCAGGCCTTGCAATGTGGCCCGCACCGCGCTGTCATCACTGCACTCCGCTGCGTTTCCATCACAATGACAGTTTATGACTGTTCAGTAAACCATTCGGCCCGCGATTTAGGCTGGATTTTAGATTTTGGCCCCTTCTCTGATTGAGTTCGACACCCCTATGCTAGAAGATCATCCCAGCTGTAGGTAGTCACCCCAGATGAGCTAATAAGGTTCCCTGAGGCGGCTACATACAACCTCTCCTATGAGAACAGGTTTTAGACGGGGCTTAGCTAGCTGCTCAACTATGCCAGCTCTGTATCCCACAGTCCTGGCGAAGGGCAGCTCTCCTGAGGAGAGGTACCGATAAGAAGGCAAGATACTCTCACAAGACCAAAGCCACACACTTCTGGCAAGGATGTCAGGAATCCCTGCCTCAAAGCCTCGGCTGTGGGGAGAAGGCCTGCAGCGAGGTTCTGTGGCTACAGCCATGAGACGCCTCTCATAATACTTGGGACTGGGAGAGGTTTCCATTCACACGGCACCTGGGTCATCTTGACCTTGAGTTAGAAATTCTATAACGTAGGCCCAGCCAGAGCGGCTCAGTTGGTCGAGTGTGGTCCCGTGCACCAACAGGTTGCCGGTTCAATTCCAAGTCAGGGCACATAACCTGGGATGTGGGTTTGGTCCCAGGTTGGGGCACATTATGGAAGGCAACCAATCGATGTTTTTCTCTAACATCGATATGTCTCTTTTCCTCTCTCAAAGCATGTCTTTGGGTGAGGATTTTAAAAAAAAAAAAGAAGAAGAAATTCAACATCTGCTGATTCAGATCCTGGCTGGAAACAGAAAAGGTTCCTGTTGGGAATAAACATTTAAAACATCTCAAAGGGGTGACACGAACAGGAAGGGAGGGGAGGCTATTGAGCAGTGGAGGAAGGGGACTCACTTTTTGGGGGAAACTCTGGTCCTGGGTGGAGACCTGCCCTCAAGCACAAAATATAACCAGGAACCTGAGCATTCACCCCCAGGCCTTACCTGTGGGTACTGGCGGGAAGGCAGGGTGAATAAGGTTGCAACACAGACTTGGATTTTTTTTTTTTTTTTTTCAGTCTACTGCAGCGATTTCCAGCAGGTGTGCTGCACACACTGCTGTGCCACGAGAATTTTTAAAACGTTGCAATAACTGACTATTTAGTCAGGAGCATGAACCTCTTTCCCTGAGATGGTCAAATTTTAAAAAAATGACAACAGCCAATAGAACAGTAACTGTTCGGTGTGAATGAATCAAAATTATATCTTTCTTTCTTTTTTTGTCAGATTGGCAAAAAATATTTTTTTGGTGGGCGGCAGAGTTTTAGCAATTAGCTGATGTGCCATGAGATGAAAAAAGATTGAAAGTCGCTGCTCTAGAGAGTTGAGTAGCCCTAAAGAGAGTAATCAAAACACCAAGGTCAGAAGACAGCATAGGGGCATCCACCAAGGGGCCCAAGAAAGGACTGCAGTGGCCTGAGCTGTTCTCCGAGAGGAAAGGGGCTCTGAGGATTTTACCCCCAAAGCCCTGTCCAGCCACCCAGCAGCCTGGGGATCGACCAGAACCAGGGGAGGGGGCGAGCCTGCCTTGAGGGGCAACAGGACGTAGAAACACTTCCTTGTTCCCAAGACAATCACCCCACGCCTTTCCCTGGCCCAATTCCCTCCTTATCCCATCTCCCCACCCTCTTACCTCCCACCAACTCCCCTCCCATCCTGGCAACCCCTGGGAACTGTCAGGGAAGATCTCTGAGTCCACTCTGCAGCCTTTTCACTGGAGTCCTGGGCACCCCCCGGGCAGTCGGCCAGAGTGCCCAGGGCCTGCCTACTTGTTGGAGCAGATGGTGAGCGTGGCGCCTACAGAGAACACCCAAAAGGCCGGGTACAGAGCTTCCGTAAAGTCCTCCTTGTACTTGTACATCAGGTGGATCTTGTCGGCAGCAACAGCAAAGAAAATGACGAAGCCGTGGTCGCAGTTGAGAAGCACGCCAACCCGCGTGGCCTTGGTGGTGGGCAGGACTTTCTCCACGTTGTTGTGCCAGGCGGAGATCTTGGTGTTGAACCACTCCACGCACCAGGAGGCGCTGTTGCGGCCGAGCCGGCTCTCGGGGCCCTGGCGCGCCATGCTGCCGTAGCACACGCCCATCCCGCAGAAGTTGTTCTTCTGCAGCTCCACCTCCCAGTAGTGGATCCCTTTCTTGTAGCAGTGCAGGCCCAGCACCTGAGAACAGTAGGTGAACCTCTGGGGGTGTGGCCGGTACGTCTGGGGAGTTTCGGCCACAGAGGCCACAGTGTAGTTCTCCGACAGCGCCACCTTGCTGTAGGCGGTGTTGTAGTCCAGGATGACCTTAACAGCATCTACAAGAGCATCACCCCAAGCAATCAGTTAGAAGGGGCCCAGGTGCTCTCACTTTTAAACCTTTCCTCAAACGGTAGTAGTATCCATTTGTTTTATCCATTCCCCCAACCATCCATCTACCCATCTATCTATCTATTTACTAATGTATCCATCCATGCACCCACCCATCCATCTATCCATCTGTCCCTCCTCCTTCCATGCATCCATCTATCCACCTACTCATCCATCCATCCATCCACCCATCCATCCATTTATCCATACTGCCACACATCCTTCCATTTATCCATCTGTCCATCTATCCTTCCTTCCATCCATCCATCCATCCATCACTGAGGTCTAACTGAGAACATCAAGTTCCGGAGAGAGCAAGAGGGGTAAGATCCAGAGTCCTGGCCGAGGAACCGGCCTCGAGGAAGTGAATAGAGAAAGGAGAAAGAAGATGGAGTCACGTGAGATGGCAGTGAGAGGATGAGGGAGGCCCCTTCTGAGCACCTCTCTTCTCTGTGAGGCAGAAGCTGGGCGGGAGAGGGAGAAGTTACGGCAGGTGGCAAGGCTTTGGAATGGCAGGGAGTCAAAAGGAAAACCAAGGAGAGAGCTGGCAGCGGGACCGGTGGGGTTCCGGCAACAGCCACGGCCAGCAGGCACTACTCACACGCCAGGAGCTCAGGTCTGGACTTGGCTAAGAAGTTCTCCAGCACCTTGGCCTTGAGAGCCGCCGAGTTTGGCTGCACTGCGCTGGGTTTGGCTGCAGCTGGGTGAGGAGACAGAGAGCCACTTTCAGAACAAATTCAGAGACCTCCCCACTGCCCCTTGTCCACAAGAACTCACCCTCCGAGCCAGCTTGTTTTAAATCCACTAACTGCTCCGAGGACTCAAAGGTGGGAAGCTTGCTGGGTGAGACAGCAGCGGCGGCTGGGGATGAGGAAGGAGGAACATATGTTGGGGACATGGCACAGAGTGACCTGATGGCCTCTACTCCCTTCTAAGCTGATTTTCAAGAGTCACTTCTGCCCAGCCAGTGTGGCCCAATGGCTAAGTGTCCACTCTATGGACTGGAGTTAGATTCCCGGCCAGGGCACATGCCCGGATTGCAGGTTCAATCCCGAGTGGGAGGCGTGCAAGAGGTAACTGATTGATGATTCTCTTTCATCATTGATACCGCTCTCTCTCCCTTCCTCTATGAAATCAATAAAAAAATATATTTTTTTAAAACTTAAAAATGGTGAAAGCTTGGGGAGGGATGAGAGGATAATGGGGGAAGAAAAGGGACATATGTAATACTTTCAACAATAAAGATTTATTTAAAAAAAAAAAAAAAAGAAGAAGAAGAAGAAGAAGCAGCAGCAGCCCTAGTTGGTTTGGCTCAGTGGACAGAGCATTGGCCTGCGGACTCAAGGTTCCCAGGTTGGTTTTTTTTTGGTTTTTTTTTAAAGACACATCTTTTTTTTTTTTTTTTTTTTTAAATATATATTTTATTGATTTTACACAGAGAGGAATTGAGAGGGACAGAGAGTTAGAAACGTCGATGAGAGAGAAACATCGACCAACTGCCTCTTGCACATCCCCCACTGAGGATGTGCCCGCATCAAGGTTCCCAGGTTTGATTCTGGTCAAGAATATGTACCTTGGTTGCAGGCACATCCCCAGTGGGGGGCATGCAGGAGGCAGCTGATTAATGTTTCTCTCTCATCGATGTTTTTAACTCTCTATCCCTCTCCCTTTCTCTCTGTAAAAAAAAAAAAAAAAAAAAAAAAAAAAAAAAAAAATCAATAAAATATATATATTTTTTAAAGACTGAACCCCTTGTATTTTGGTTTATAAAGTTTATTTTTTAAAAAGAAAGAAAAACAGAGCAGAATCGCATAACTTACGAACTTTCTTGGGTTTCTTTTCTTCTTCTGGAAAAAAAAAAAAAAAAATTCCAGAATTAAGGCACTGTGAAGCACAACACAATGACACTTTCAAAAGACCATACTAACATTCATTTGTGTGAATGTGACCCATCCGGATAAAGCTAGGATGGTTTAACTTGACAAAGATAACAGGCCAATAACTCCATGGTGATTGGTGTGGGGGAGGGACTGGCGCTTGAAGAGCATGATGGGATTTTCCGGGGTAATGGAAATACTTTATCTTGATGTGGGTCACAGTACCATACACGAATTCACTGGTCAACATTCCTCTAACTGCATTTAAGATCTGCGCATTTTACTGGACGTAAATTGTATCTCCATAAAAGGAAAAATGCAAAAAGCAAAACTAGAGTCAGCAAAAAACAATGTGCTGGCCAAGTAGCGCAACAGTCCTTAAGAACCACCTTGGAGCAGCGGCTGCCAGGCTGGGAGCGGCCAGGCCCGGAGCAGCAGCAGCCAGGTCCAGAGCAACTAGGTCGGGAGCGGCGGTGACCAGACCCGGAGCAGCTGGTTGTGGAACAAACCAGAGCAACAGAGGCCAGGCCCGGAACAGCCAGGCCCGGAACAGCCAGGCCCGGAACAGCTCGCTCTTCGCCTGCCCCTGCCCCATGGCTGACTCTCAGACATGGCTGGAAACTTTTGTGGGAACTTGAGGGTCTGCTGAATCAAGTGATGAAGGCTTAGATCTGGATGTGTTGAGTTAGCATAGGGCTGGGGTGTTGATCTGTGAGTGCCTTGGGTGGGGCCCGGATGAGGCTGGTTGACCTATTTGGAAATATCTTTTGTGTGAAATGTATCATTGGGCATGTGGTGGTATTATTGATATGAGAAAATGCTAAGTAACTGATTTACTATCTGAAAAGGGATTTACTATCGGGGAAAGGGAGGGAGGAAGAGACTGAACATAAACTGCACCTATGGATGAGGACAATGGGGGATGGGGAGGGGGCGGAGGGTGGGGTGGGAACCTGGCGGAGGGGGGAAGAAATGAGGAACCTTTGTACCAATATGAACAATAAAGGTTGATTTAAAAAAAAAAAAAAAAAAAGAACCACCTTGGAGCGTGTGCCTATGGAGACCGTCTTAGCAAAGAAGTCAGCGGTGCTCCGAGCGTCGGCCCAGCCAGCAGCAGCAGCCTCCCGGGGAGCCCGTAGGAAATGCACATTCTCAGGCCCCACTCCGGAGCTGCTGTTCCAGGCCACTCGAATATCCAGTGCTCGCGGGTCAGATGGCACACACAGCCCCTCCCAGCACCCAGGCTCCGCAGTGATTTGTGAGGGGCTGTGCCCATCGGCCAGGAGCGGCGACGCCGGTGACTGTCCCAGCCGGCCCCGCCAGCCACGGCCGTGCTGCTGCCACAGGGACGGGGGGCTACTTACTCGGGGCCTTCTTCACGGGGCGTGTGGGCTTTGGCGTGGGCGCCGTGCCATGCTCTGCAGGCTCCCCTGTGCCAACAAAGAAGGTGCTCGTTGATGGGGCTCCTCCAAAACACCCCAAAAGCCAGCTTTGCCACAGGCGGGCGGCAGCGGGTTTACAAAGACAGCCACCCCCACATCCCACCCACTCTCGCCTCCCATCCTTTACAAGGGCTGGAAGACGGGTCATAGGAGGACCAGTCTGGGGCGTCTCCTCTTTCCTCTGGCTTCACTTGTAGCTGGGGTCCAGTCTTTTCCCACCAGCACCCAGCTCTGTGACCTCTGCCCCCTCTCTGAGCTGCAGCGTCTGCCAGCGCACAGCGGGAGGAGGCCCCTGCTCATCGTGATGACACAGAGGTGCCTGGAGCTCCTTCCCTCTGGGTTTCCGGCCCTCCCGCTCCCCAGACCAGGCACCACGGAGGTAGCAGGGGTGGCTAATTCATCCACCGATTATGCTCCTCCATGGGACCAAGCCCTCCCTGAGGAGGAACTGGGAGTCTTCGTGGCAGGGCCCCTGAAACTAAGTCCCAATGCTTGGGATCAAGGCCCTCTCTTGTACCCCAAAATGCCGAGGGGACCCATCCAGATTCAGGGGTCTCCGTGGGGCTCCGTGGGGGGCGGGTGCTGACGGTTACCTGAGGTGATGGGCTCCTCGGACTTCCTGAGGCAGCGCTTCAGGTCGTTTTTGATGTCTACAGTGCTCTGGTAAACGCCCTTTATCAGCTCTTGATTCAGCTCCACCTTGGGGACGTAGACTGGCTTCGTTGAGACAGCCTGCAGCTTTGCCGCTTTCTGGAACAAGCCAGGGGGTCAGCGCAGGTGGCTCCGGGAAGCCAGGCCCTGGACTCAGCCTCCAGAACCCCAGGGGAACTGCCCTGCGCCCACTCCCACCCACCCCGCAGGGGGGAGTCCCATCAGCCTTCCCAGTTATAGGCCTGGGGTCACTGGGCATTCAAGTGCCACTTTTAAGACAGTGATCTGGAACTGAAAGGACCCTCAGAGGTTGCTCCCCTGACAGATGGGGAAACGGAAGTCTAGAGGTGACACGTGACCTGCCAGGAACTCTGCCAATCAGTGGCAGGGACAAAGCTGGGACCCAGGTCCCCTGACGGCCATGGAAAATGCTCCCTCCACTTCTCCAGCTGTGGCTGGGCCAGTGTGGGAGACTCAGGACCAGCTGTGAACACAGGTTCTGGGATGGACAGGGAGGTCTCAAGGTGCAGGACTCAGAGAGGGCACATCGGATGAAAAGGAAGGGACTTCCGGGCTGTCCCAAACTTTGAGACTAGAATCAGGTCACAGAATATCAAGAGGCCTAAATGTGGATTCAGAACCCATCACAGAGAGCTCCAGGCAGCTACTCCAACACACCAGAATGAGAAGAAACCAACACCCTCCAGTCACTCCTTACCCTCCCCCAACCTGAACAAGGAAGCTGGGCCTAGGAGGGGTCGGAGCACATCACCCAATCAATGGGCTCACCAGAACGCCCACTGCATGCCAGGCATTATGCAAGGGCTGGACATGTCTGGAAGAAAGGTGGCCATACAGGATGGGCCACACGGAACGGAGCCGACAGCCTAACCAGTGGTCGGCAAACTGCGGCTCGAGAGTCACATGCAGCTCACGAGCTGCGGTTTGCCGCTCTGTTGACTAATGAGTTTGCCAACCACTGCCTTAGGGAAAAACACTTAAAAAAACATTTTAAGCCGAAACCGGTTTGGCTCAGTGGTAGAGCGTCGGTCTGCGGACTGAAAGGTCCCAGGTTCGATTCCGGTCAAGGGCATGTACCTTGGTTGCAGGCACATCCCCGGTAGGGGGTGTGCAAGAGGCAGCTGGTCGATGTTTCTCTCTCATCGATGTTTCTAGCTCTCTATCTCTCTCCCTTCCTCTCTGTAAAAAAATCAATAAAATATATATTTTTTAAAAAACAAAAAAACATTTTAATAATGTACTAATGTCTTTAACTGGAAGTCAAAACTTCTGGGTAAGGGCAATGCCAAAAAAAAAAAAAAAAAAAAAAAAAGATGAGTCTCCTGGATGGGCCAGACTTAATCAGGTAAAAGGCCTGAAAAGGGGAACTGGGCCTTCCTAGAGGGAGAATTTCCCATGAGCTTTGAAGGAAGCTGCCAAGTTGGGAGAGGGCCATGTGGCAAGGAACTGCGGCAGCCTCTAGGAGCTGAGCGCGCACAGCCAGCTTTCCAAGAAAGCGGGGACCTTGGTCCTGCACCATGCGGAACCGGGTTTCCCAACCACCAAGGAAGCTCCAAACGGAACGCAGCCTGTGAGAGACCCTCAGAAGACAGCCCCCTCAGCCACGCCCAGCCTCCTGAGCCACGGGAAGTGTGACACAGTCCATGTAAGATCTGAGCCACTGTGCTTGTGGTGAGTTGTCACACAGCATCTAAAACGAATACAGCCGCCCTATCTGGTTTGGCTCAATGGAAAGAGAATCGACCTGCAGACTCAAGGGTCCCAGGTTCGATTCCGGTCAAGGGCATGTACCTTGGTTGTGAGCACATCCCCAGTAGGCAGCTGGTTGATGTTTCTCTCTCATCAATGTTTCTAACTCTCTCTCCCTCTCCCTTCCTCTCTGTAAAAAAATCAATAATATATATTTTTAAAAATAAAGAAAAATAACAAATAAAAAATACAGCCTGTGTGTCAGGGATGCTTTTGATGACCTCTCACAGACCCCCCACTCCCTGAGGCCCTGTTGCCCCTATAATCAACACCCTCAGGCGGGGCAGGAAGAGGGTTCAGCAATGGCCTCATCCAGACCCACCTCCAGAAACTCAAACTCGCCCCCCTTGGTCAGGGCAGCCTCAATCTCCTCCTTCACGGTCTGGATCTCCGTCTTCTTCTTGAGGAGGATCTGGTAAATGGTGTCGAACTTGCTGCTGACCCTCTTCTCCTCTTCCTTTATTTTCCGCGTGGAGCTGGCCTCGGAGGCGTCAATGAGCGCCTTCATTTCCAGGTATTCTTGTCGAATCTGGTCCATCTTCTTCTGCGCAGCATCCTAAGATGCCGACACAAGAAGACATCCATCAGGCCGGCAAAGCTACGCCCGTGGAACCAGGCGGAGCACAAAGGGGCACGACCACTTTGGAGAGCAATGTGGCAGTGTGTAGTGCGGTGGTTCTCAACCTTCCTTGAGAACCAACCGCTAGGCGACCCTGCTAGTGGTTCTCAACCTGTTGAGACCCACAGGTTGAGAACTGCTGCTGTAGAGCCTAAGACCATCGGAAAACACCGATATTTACATTACAATTCATAACAGTAGCAAAATTACAGTTGTGAAGTAGCAACAAAAATAATTTTATGGTTGGGAGTCACCATAAAAGGTCTCGGCATTAGGAAGGTTGAGAACCACTGTTCTAATGCATTTGAATACACTCAGACCCTGTGACCTAACTGCTGACTCAAGGAATATACTCCAGAAAAATCCCCACAGATGCACACGCAGCACTGTTTGAATTAGCAGAACCCTGGCAAGAGGAGGCTGAATATACAGGCTGGATGGACACTGGATGGACAATCAAACAGCAATGAGAATTAATGAAGTGGGGAGAAGCATTTCATACATTCGAAACATTTCATGAGGGAAAATCAACTTGTAGAAAAAGACACACAGTCCGGATGCTCTTCACAGAAAGCTTAGAGACGAACAGGACAGTAGCGTTTATTGCCAAAGGGAGGCACACCAACATAAAGCAGTATAAAGAAATCCATGCAAATAAATCCAGGATCGTGGTTACGTCCGGAAGGGAGGAAGGGGGATATCAGAAGGGAGGGGTGTAGAGTGAGGGCTTCAGCTGCATCGGTGACATTTTTCTTTTTTTTTCTTTTTTCTTAAGCTGGGGAGCAGCTCTTGGGTAATTTTTCTTTTTAAAGAGAGGATATGAAGCTGCTCTAGAAAATTTCTAGAGAGTATCACCTTCAGGAACTGCCTGCCCAATTCCATAGCCACTTGCCGGGTGTGGCTACAAAGCACTTGAAACGTCCCAATTAAGATGTGCTGTTGAGTGTGAGACGCACATTGGCTTTCAAAGACTGAGTACAAAAGGACTGCGAAATACCTCCTTAGTACACTTCACTGACTCTGTGTTGAAATAATCATTTTTTTGGATGTTCTAAGTTAAAATATATTATCGAAATGAATTTCTCGCGACGTAAAAATTAATCTGACGTTACAGAAAAGGCTCACGTTGTATTTCTATGGCACAGCAGTGCTCTAGCTCAGACTCAACATGAAACAGAAATGTACACAAGATGGGGAATATATAGGGAGATTGAAATTCAGTTATTTCTTTACCCAACCCCTTACCCTGCCATCTCCAATGTGGCCGCGAATGGCCCCCAGTGCTGTCTCAGTAAGAGAGCACCCCTGGAGTCTCAGGAGGGCACATGGCTGCGAAGCCACAGACTACATTTCCCAGCCTCCCTGTGGTGAGGCTTGATCACGTGACTAAGCCGCTCCTATTTGTGTATGAGCAGAAGTGATATACGCAACACTCTTCTTACTTGTGGCCGTTCTAGCAGGCTAGAACAGAGAAGGAATGGTGACTCAGCTTCCGCCAAACAGATGTGGAAAACACCCTAAGGAATTGTGACGCAACAGGAAGGAAAGACCGTGGAGCAGAGACACCCACCAGCCTGGGTGGCTGTGTCCGGCCTTGAACTATCCCAGTGAGCAAAATAAACTTCTATCTTATTTAAGCCTCTGGATTTTGGTAGTATCTTTGTTACAGCAGGTTAGCCTGCCCCCCAAACCCATACGGGTTTTTTCATGTGCTTCCTTTCACCTAAGGCTCACACCCCACTTCAGAAAGTCACGGCTCCATTATGCAGATGGGAAAACAAAGGCTCATGGATCTGCCGACTGGACCAACGTATCACAGGCTAAAGTGTAACAGAGCTAATATTCTTACCCAGGCTTCGTCTCCCTAAACTACAGCTGCCACAATAACACTAGATGCTGCAGCTCCAGGTCAGGGTATTTAAAAATCAAATCCTCCCCCTGGCTGGTTTGGCTCAGTGGATAGAGCATCAGCCTGTGGACTGTAAAGTCCTGGGTTCAATTCCAGTCAAGGGAGCATGCCCGGGTTGCGGGCTCAGTCCCAGGTAGAAGGCGTGCAGGAAGCAGCCAATCGGTGGTTATCTCTCATCATTAATATTTTTTTTCTCTCTCCCCCTCTCCCTTCCTCTCTGAAATCCATAAAAATATGTTTTTTAAATATGAGAATAAATAAAAATCAGCCGAATCCGGTTTGGTTCAGTGGTAGAGCGTTGGTGTGCGGACTGAAAGGTCCCAGGTTCGATTCCGGTCAAGGGCATGTACGTTGGTTGCAGGCACATCCCCGGTAGGGGGTGTGCAAGAGGCAGCTGGTCGATGTTTCTCTCTCATTGACGTTTCTAGCTCTCTATCACTCTCCCTTCCTCTCTGTAAAAAATCAATAAAATATATTTAAAAAAATAAAAAAATAAAAATAAAATCTTTTGACATAAACGCAATGCAGCCTTATAAAAATTGTGGAAACTAGAAGTAGAAAAAATTGTCCCTGAGTCTATCACTCTAACACTTACACAACTATCCTTTTCCTAGACTACTTATTTTGAAAAAATTCTTTACAGCCGAAACCAGTTTGGCTCAATGGATAGAGCGTCGGCTTGGGGACTGAAAAGTCCCGGGTTCGATTCCGGTCAAGGACATGTATCTTGGTTGCGGGCATATCCCCAGTAAGGAGTGTGCAAGAGGCAACTGATTGATGACTCTCTCTCATCGATGTTTCTAACTCTCTATCTCTCTCCCTCCCTCTCTGTACAAAATCAATAAAATATATATATAAAACTTTGAGGGGGAAAAAAAAAATTCTTTACAGATGTAATTAAGGTAGGACTCTTGAGATGAGATTATCCTGGATTAACCAGGTGGGTCCTAAATCCAATGACAAATGTCCTTGTTAGAGAATGAAGAGAAGTCACCAAGGGAGGAAGAGGCCATGTGAAGACAGAGGCAGAGGTTGGAGTAATGAATTGTAACATAAATATCTGTGTTTTCTGATGATCTTAGGCTCTACAGCAGCAATTCTCAACCCATAGATTGAGACCTAAGACCTAAGACCATCGGAAAACACAGATACTTACATTACAATTCATTAACAGTAGCAAAATTACAGTTATGAAGTAGAAACAAAAATAATTTTATGGCCGAAACCGGTTTGGCTCAATGGATAGAGCGTTGGCTTGGGGACTGAAGGGTCCCGGGTTCGATTCCGGTCAAGGGCATGTATCAATACTTTGGTTGCGGGCATATCCCCAGTAGGGGGTGTGCAAGAGGCAGCTGATTGATGACTCTCTCTCATCGATGTTTCTAGCTCTCTATCTCTCTCCCTTCCTTTCTGTATAAAATCAATAAAATATATATTTAAAAAATAATAATAATAACTTTATGCTTGGGGGTCACCACGACATGAGGAATGCATTAAAGGGTCGAGGCATTAGAAAGGTTGAGGACCACTGCTGTAAGCTCAGTCTGCTGCAATTTGTGACACTAGTCCTGGAAAACAAAGGCACTCCCTTCTTACAGCGAGCAACGCCAGTGGGCATACACTTTTTTGCTCCCTGTTTTTCTCCCACTTAAATCATAATCTCGCCCTGGCCAGCATTGCTCAGTGGTCAGAGCATTGGCCCACGCACCGAAGGGTCATGGGTAAGATTTCCAGTCAAGGGTGCATCCCTGGCTTGCAGGTTCCATCCCTGGCCCCGACTGGGGGGGGGGGGGGGGGGCGCCATTCAGGAGGCAACCAATCAATCGTTTCTCTCTCTCTCCTCTGTCTCTCTCCCTTGCCCTCCCCCCTTTCCACTCTCTCTGAAAAGCAATGGGAAAAATATCCTCTGTTGAAGATTAACAAAAAATAAATCACAATCACGGTCTACATTACTAGTTTTCAACACTAAGTTTTATTATTATTGTTGTTGTTGTTAATCCTCACCCTAGTATCAGTGTGAGAGAAACACATCACTTGGTTGCCTCCCACACATGCCCCAACTGGACCAGGGATCGAATCGGCAACCCACGTATGTGCCTTGGACCAGGAATCAAACCAACAGCCCTTCGTTGTGTGGGCTGATGCTCTAACCACTGAGCACACTGGTCAGGGCTCAACACAAATTTTTAATGATTCCCCCAACCTTGGGCTTGTAGCTAGTCTCCTGTTTGGGTCTGTGAAGGCTCTCTCCTGGACACACAGCTTCTGGAATGTTTTACAAGATGGATGTTTAATTCTGACACTGTGAATGAACCCACCATGAGCCTCATGGAGATCACAGCTGAGCCTGTCCTGCCTGGAGGCAGAGGGAGGCCCAGGGCCGGGGCTGGTGGTAGAGAGCCCTGTCACTCACCCGCACATCCTTCTGCCTGGCTCTCACATCCTCCAGCGCTCTCACTGCACCGTTGATCTGGCCGTACATGACCGTCAGTTTATACTTCAGCTTGGCCTGCAGAGAAAACAACACAGGGTGAGAGAACCCCTGGGCCCAGCCCCCACCAGCACCCAACTCCGAACCATCCCCTGAGCCTGCTTGTTAGCTCTTTTATTTTTTAAATTTTAAATATATTTTATTGATTTTGTACAGAGAGGAAGGGAAAGAGATAGCAAGCTAGAAAGATCGATGAGAGAGAGTCATCGATCAGCTGTCTCTTGCACACCCCCTACTGAGGATATGCCCGCAACCAAGGTACATGCCCTTGACCGGAATCGAACCTGGAACCTTTCAGTCCCCAGACCGACGCTCTATCCACTGAGCCAAACCGGTTTCGGCTTGTTAGCTCTTTTAAGCATTCTCATATTTACTACCTCGCTTCATCCCTTTAGGGAGATGGTGCTGTAAATACAGGATTTGGAGCCAGACAGGCCAGGGCTCCAGTTCCCAGCTGTCCAACTGCCTCTCACCTCGGTCTCCTTGGCCACTAACGAGATACAACTGTTCCCGCCTCACAGGGCTGGTGGGAGTGACGTGAACGACCCAGAAACAACAGGAGTCCTCAGCCCACTAGTGAGGTGTAAACTGCATGTCAGCTTGGGCGATGATGAGCTGTGTCCCCAGCACCCGCTTTACAGGTGACCAAACTATGGCAAGGAAGACCGCGGGGCGGTCAGGCTCACAAAGAGGGACAAAGCGAGCTGGGACAGCTGCTTCAGCTTCAGGCAGATGAGGTCATTCAAAGCAGCCCTCCCCGCTGCAAGCAACCAGGAAAGCAGACAGGGGAGGGTTACAGAGCCAAGATCCAGGAGGAAAAAACACCCAGAGATAAGCCTGGCACCTGCCAGTTCCAGAAGGCAGCTGGGAGGGCCTGTCAGCTCAGGGAGGCATGGGAACAAAATCAGAGTCCAGAGCTCACTCGGTAAACCCCACAGGTGGGGACCTGCAAGGGCCACACCCTAAGAATAAAGAATAAGCCAGCCATAGACCAGCCCATTGCCAGCTCAGTCCCTGACACTGAATTAAGGGGATTCAGAATTGCTAGGCCCCTAGCCACCAGCAGAAACAAAGATAAACTGCACACAAAGGAAGATAATATTATCCAAAGCCTCTTACTATTTCTTTTTTTTTCTTTAATATATTTTACTGATTTTAAAAAATATATATTTTATTGATTTTTTACAGAGAGGAAGGGAGAGAGATAGAGAGCTAGAAACGTCTATGAGAGAGAAACATCGACCAGCTGACTCTTGCACACCCCCCACTGGGGATGCGCCCCGCAACCAAGGTACATGCCCTTGACCGGAATTGAACCCGGGACCTTTCAGTCCACAGACCGACGCTCTACCACTGAGCCAAACCGGCTTCGGCTATTTTATTGATTTTTTACAGAGAGAAAGGGAGAGGGATAGAGAGCTAGAAACAATCAATGAGAAACATCGACCAGCTGCCTCCTGCACACTCCCCACAGTGGATGTGCCCACAACCAATGTACATGCCCTTGACCGGAATCCAACGTGGGACTTTTCAGTCCACAGACCGACACTATGGAGCCAAAATGGTTTCGGTGGCCTCTTACTATTTCTATAAATTTTCATAATATCTTAGTCCCTACCTCCCTGCTCAGGTGAAATGTTGGGGCATAAAAAGGGGGAGCAAAATAGCCACCACCACCGTCACAACCACAGGCAGTGTTTATTATGTGCCTGCTGCAAGACTTGCTCCAGGCCAGTGGTCGGCAAACTCATTAGTCAACAGAGCCAAATATCAACAGTACAACGACTGAAATTTCTTTTGAGAGCCACATTTTTTTAAACTTAAACTTCTTCTGACGCCACTTCTTCAAAATAGACTCGCCCAGGCCGTGGTATTTTGTGGAAGAGCCACACTCAAGGGGCCAAAGAGCCGCATGTGGCTCGCGAGCCGCAGTTTGCCGACCATGGCTCTAGTGCTTTGCCTGTATTGAAGCTAAGGGCAAAACCGTGAAGTTGCAGTTACCTGCCCTCTACAGAGGAGGCCACTGAAGCACAGAGTATTAATTACGTAGGTGGTTTGACTGATATTACGTCGCTATTAACTGGTGTTACAAGATCCTAGTGTTTCAGTTACAGACACGCGTCCAAACCGAGCACACAATTTCTAGGCGGGAGAAGGGGAGTGAAGGTGTGGGGGGAGGGAGGGGATATTTTTACTTCCCCTAATTAGCTGGTTCAACACACGCTGACCCTCCCTTCCTCTTTCCTGCCTCTCCCACTCCACTAGAGATATTCAGGGCTGAACCTGACCTGGAAAGAGTCCAAGGCCACACTAACTCGACCCGAAAGCCCCAGTCCCTAATGATGTTTCAGACTCGACCTCTGAGACAATGCCCTTTGCGCTGGCCTCTCAGAGTGGCCAAGACGAACTGGGCCAAAGGCTGAAGGCCAGGCCCCGCAGACCACACCCAGCAGGTCTCAGAGCTGGAAGAAACCTCTAGCCGCGGGGGAGAAAGGCCTCCAACCGTTTTTTGCCTCTGAGAGCCAGAGCCACTCTTAGTAGCGAACTCCCAAACTCTGTATTTTGAAAGGTTTTATCCACCATGAATCACACAGACCTAACAGTCCCCTGTTGGAGGATAGGGGCCCACACCGCTCCAGACAAAAGGAAATCGGCCCAAGGACTGTAATAGCCACAACAATTCCCTAATTCAAGGAAATTCTAAGGATCCCTTCGCAGCCTGGGGACTTGATCCTCCACGTGGGAGGTACCGGAATCCTGAGACACACACACACACACACACACACACACACACACACACACACACACCCGCGTGAGTGATGGAGACAAGCCAGTTGCCCAAGGCTGTGGCACTACCCTTGTCTAGGCTGGCTCTGCCCCCAGCAGTGAGCAGAGCAGCAGGGCTGGAAAAGGAGCGTGGTTGCTGAAACCAGTTTGGCTCAGTGGTAGAGCGTCGGTCTGCGGACTGAAGGGTCTCAGGTTCGATTCCGGTCAAGGGCATGTATGTTGGTTGCGGGCACATCCCTGGTGGGGGATGTGTAGGAGGCAGCTGGTCAATGTTTCTCTCTCATCGATGTTTCTAACTCTCTGTCCCTCTCCCTTCCTCTCTGTGAAAAACCAATAAAATATATTTAAAAAAAAAAAAAAAAAAAAAAAAAAAGGAGCGTGGTTAAAGGACTCAGCCAGGACAACAGGGGGAGAGTGGAGGTGGTGGGGACAGGCCTATTACAAGAATCAAAAAGAAAACCATGCCCTAACTGGTTTGGCTCAGTGGATAGAGCATCGGCCTGAGGAATGTAGGGCCTGCAGGGCCCAAGGTTCGATTCTGGTCAAGGGCATGTATCTTGTTTGCAGGCACATCCCCAGTAGGGTGTGTGCAGGAGGCAGCTGATCTATGTTTGTCTCTCATCGGTGTTTCTAACTCTCTATCCCTCTCCCTTCCTCTCTGTTAAAAAAAAAAAAATCAATAAAATATATCATAAAAAACAAAAGCAAAACCCGTGCCCTAACTGGTTTGGCTCAGTGGATAGAGCCACAGCGTTCGGACTGAAGGGTCCCGGGTTCAATTCCAGTCAAGGACATGTGCTTGGGTTGTGGGCTCAATCCCCAGTAGGGGGTGTATAGGAGGCAGCCAATCAATGATTCTCTCTCACCACTGATGTTTCTATCTCTTTCTCCCTCTCCATTCCTCTATGAAATCAATAAAAAATATTTTAAAAATAAAATAAAGCAAAACGTGTCCAGCTGTGTGGTTCAGCAGTTGAGCACTGACCCAGCAACCAAGAGGCCCCAGTGGCGGGTTTGATCCCCTGTAGGGGTGCCTGTCAGAGGCAGCCAATCGATGATGTTCCTCTCTCGTTGATGTTTCTATCTCTCTATCCCTCTCCCTTCCTCTCTCTAAAAATCAACATAAATATATATTTTTTAAATGAAAACACATGTATGGCATACAAATAAACTGGGTGCAGACTCCAGCTCTGGGCCCTGGAAGTTGAGAGGGGTGGGTCGGAGGCAGACTAAGAAGGGCCCTCCTGCTGAAACCGGTGTGGCTCAGTGGATAGAGCTTAGCCCTGCGGACTCAAGGGTCCCAGGTTCGATTCCGGTCAAGGGCATGTACCTTGGTTGTGAGCACATCCCCAGTAGGGGGTGTGCAGGAGGCAGCTGATCGATGTTTCTCTTCTCATCGATGTTTCTAGCTCTCTAACCCTCTCCCTTCCTCTCTGTGAAAAATCAAAGGGGGGGCCCCTCCTGCACCTACTTGCCTTCTGCCTCCCTAGATAAGAACTTCTAGAAGGGCCCTTGGCCAGGAGGAGCCCCGCTGTCCCAGTCTCCAGGGGCAGGCCCAGGCACCTTCCCAAGGCACAGATCTGGGCAACCTGATACTCTGCCCAGCGAGCTCACCTCCCGGCTGGGTGGGGCAGTAACAGAAATGAGCGTTCACTGTAACACACTGCGGATAGGCCGCTTCATTTAATCCTCCCGATAACCTTCTGGGATGAGTACTGTCATTATCCCTTTTTACCGGTTCCCGGCTAGGAAGCAGCCAGCATTCAAACCCGGGTCTCCGCATCCAGCTCTGCCCGGAGCCCCGTCAACCAGCCACGCCCACCTGGCCCACAAAGCACTTCCCGCACAGCTCCTCTCCTCTCTCCCACGGAATGCCACCAATCCCACTGAACAGAGAACTGCGGTGACTTGCCCTAAACCACAGCGGATACGGGCCAAGCAGGCTCCCGTGAGGAACAGAGAAGACCCAGGCGGCTGGGCCTCGGAGGGTCAACTCCCCCGGCAAGGCCTGGAGGTCCGGCTTCTGAGAACCCAGCTCAGATTTGGGAGGAGCAGGCCAGGTGGGGGAAGGGCTGTGGCCAGAGAAATAGTGAGAGCCTGCACCCAGGTCTTGGCGCTGCTACACACCTCCCCACGGCTCAGGTCTGCTTGGACCACGCGAAGACAGTCCGTGTTCTCCGTGACAGTGCTGGGAGAAGGAAAGGACATCGAGGCACGCTTGGGAGCTTAGACTGACATAACCGAAGGTGGTCTGGTGACACCTTTTCCTCTGACAGGCCCTCCGAAGCCACTAAAACCATCCCAAACCTGGAAAACCCCTGAGAAGTCAACCTGGCCCCACCTCCTCATTGACTGAGGAGTCAGGCCCCGGGGCCAAATCCTGCCTCCCAGTCACAAGGCCAGAATGGAAGGTACTGTGCTGCCAGAGCGCCGGCTCTCCCTCCCACAGGTCTGCCGCGTCCTGTCCAAGCCCTCCCACTCGCAGGGATCCTCCCCAGTCCCTGCAGCTCTCCAGCTCTTCCGTGACTCTTGCTCACATGACCTCAACCCTCCACGCCGAGTCCCATGCCCTGGACTCTGTAGACCTGGTTAGAAGGCTGGTACCTGAAGAACCGTTGTCACACTGTTGGGTTGGCCCCTTACTGTATTCCTCGGGCTAAACTAACGTCCGTGGAACTCCATCTCCTCTGAAAAATGGAACTAAGCATAACACCCCCTCCTGGCTGTTGCCAGGATTTCATGAGGGAACAGAGGCAAACCTCCCGGGTTCCTGTTTGAGAGGGTTCAACCCCTTGTATGAACACCATCAGACAAGGTCTAAACTAAAGGCAGGCACCATCGCCTGTGTCTGCTGCCCCAGACCTCGGGCTCAGCAAAGCCCGTGTTTCCACGCAGGGGACCCAGCGAAGGCGGAGATGCCCAAGGGGAGCGCCCTGGGCACCCCCCCTGCAGGCAGCCCCACCAGGCCGCCCCTCTGCGGCCCCCCCCCCCCTACCTCCAGGTCGGCGCTGGCCTGGCTCAGGGGCGCCGGCGAGCAGGTCTTGTGCTCCACCAGGCAGATGTGGCAGATGCACTCGCCGTGCTCGGGGCAGAACAAGTCGCGGAGCCGGTTGTGCTGGGGGCACTTGCGCTGCAGCAGGTCCGGGACGGGCGGCTGCAGCGGGTGGTCCTTGAAGGCGGGGCTGTCGAGGTGCGGCCGCAGGTGCTCCCGGCAGAAGGAGGCCATGCACACGAGGCACGTCTGGACGGCGGCCGCCTTCAGGCAGTGGTCGCAGGCCACCTGGCCGGCGGGGGCGGCGGCGGCCGCGGCGGCGCGGGAGGGCGGCGCCCAGCCGTCGGGCGGCTTGGCGCGGGCCAGCTCGGCCTGCGCGAACTGCTCCACCACCGTGCACAGCACCGTGTTCTTGCGGAGCTGCGGCCGCGCCGAGAACGCCGAGCGGCACTGCGGGCACTGGAACGGCGCGCCCTGCACGGCCCACGTCTCGTCCAGGCACGACCCGCAGAAGTTGTGGCCGCACGGCGTGGTGACCGGCACCTTGAAGAGCTCCAGGCAGATGGAGCACGTCAGCTCCTCGGCCAGGGACAGGTCCGCCATGGCCTCGCTGCTCGGGGGGCCGGAGGGGCCGTGCGGGGACCCGGAGTGAGTGCGGCACGGTCTCCCCGAGGCGGCCCGGGAAATGAAACTGAGCGGCGGGAGGCGGGCCCGCGGCCTTTCCAGAAGTCACGTGGGGCGGGGGGGCGGGGCCGGCAAACCGGGACCCGGGGGGTAGGGTAGGGTGCGGCGGGGTAGAGGGGGTTTGAGGTCGCTGCGGTCCGATGGGGAATAGGCGGTGTGCACGCTCGGGGCTTCCAGGTATCTGATGGAGAAACCGCGGCGTCGGGTGGAGAACCCCCGGTCGCCCAGAGCCCAGCCCAGAGCTAGTCCGGCTCCTGCCCGGAGCGCTCGCCACGACTTCTATCCTTCGAGGATTTGCTGGACCCGCGACGTCCCCAGCGCTCCACGAGCCAGGGGGCTTTATCAGGACAGGACTTAAAAAAAAATAACTGTAGCCGAAATTGGTTTGGCTCAGTGGGTAGAGCGTTGGCATGTGGACTGAAAGGTCCCAGGTTCGATTCCGATTCCGGGCAGGGGCATGTACTTTGGTTGTGGGCACATCCCCAGCGGGGGGGGGGGGGGGGGGGGGTGAGGGGGGTGGTCAGGAGGCAGCTGATCGGTGTTTCTGTCTATCCCTCTCTCTTCCTCTCTGTAAAAAAAAAATCAATAAAATATATTTAATAAATAATAAAATAAAATAAATGAAATAACTGTAGAATCAGTTCTACTGTTTCCCAAACTGTTGACATATGTGTACCCCTTGTATAACTTTCGTAACGCTGAGTTCCCATGAGAACGTAGAATTAGGCGCAGCTAAGCACGGTGCAGTGCATATCCCCACCAAACTCCCGTGCAACGCGTACCCCCACCAAACTCTTCCCGTACCCCTGGGGGTACGCGTACCACACTTTGAGAAACACTGGATGACTGCCTGCCCTTTTCCTTTTTTCTTTTTTTAAATCCTTACTTCCTTTTCCCTGGTCCTGCACTTTGCATTTCATTCTTGGATCCTTGAAGGCTGGAGCCCATAGTCACACGCTCATGCTTAAACTAGGTGACTTCTTTCCATTCCACCGCGATATAACATGATTTTATTTTTTTAAACTTCCAGTTCAACTTGACTAGGGTTTGGAGACATCCCAGTTTCACAGAGGTTTTTCTCTCACATACACTCAGATGACAATAATATTGGGATTTAAACACTTTTTTTTTTTAATTGTTTGCTTAGATTTATTTCCATTCTTCTATGTGTTTCCCCACCTCTGGCCAAAAAGTAGAAACAGCGAGTGTACAGGAGGCAGGAAGTGTTCCAGAGAGGGGATAGGGGGGCAAAGAGAAAAACCGCGTTTAAAGAGGAGTTAGTTGGAATTCTCATTGGAGACAGGGTGAGCAGCAAAAACAAAAAAGTCAATGTCATAGACTACTGCTAAAGTAATATGGTATCTATTACTTTATGTGGCACATACTGTGTGGTAGAAAAGTCACATACGTTAGTTTCTAAAATCCTTATAATTGCCCTAACCGGTGTGGCCCAGCGGATAGAGTGTCGGCCTGTGGACTCAAGGGTCCCAGGTTCGATTCCGGTCAAGGGCATGTACCTTGGTTGCAGGCACATCCCGTGTAGTGGGTGTGCAGGAGGCAGCTGATTGATGTTTCTCTCTTATCAATGTTTCTAACTCTCTGCCCCTCTCCCTTCCTCTTGTAAAAAGTCAATAAAAAAATATTTTTAAAATACTTATAATCTTTTCTAGACTTTCTAAACCCTACAAGACAGAAGTCCTTATATCCATTTTACAGGCGAGGGTCATGAATTTTATATAAAATAGGACTGGGATTCTCGCTCAGGATTGCTTACTCCACATCCTAATTCCTAGTTCCCCTACATCTATTCCTCCAGGCCCCTTGAGCCCACTTGTTCTTTTTTCATATCACATTGCTGCTTGTATAGGGAAGAGGAAGACAGAAGGTGAGGTGTGTAGGAAATGAAGATGTATGTACATGGTGTCTCATTTACTTCTCACAAATCTTTGAGGTGGGTATAATTATCTCAATACAGATGAGAAACCTGAGGCTTAGGGACACTAAATAACTTAACCTGAGACCATGGAGATTGGCATCCAGACTATCTGACTCCAGAAGGCAAGCATTTTTTCCTATGAAATGCTGTCCCTCAAGGGGAGGGATGGAGCAGTTTCCAGGAAATAAATAGCATAAAATCCCTCTAACCCAGCTCTCATGGGTGAGGCAGCCGGCTGACTCATGCCAGAATGTTTGTGGAAAGAAGAAATTCCACTTGGACATCTCCTGTCCATCAGTTTTTAGCCTGTCCTTCCTGATGGCCTGCTCCACCAGCCCCCTCAGCCATGTCTAAAAAGCAGCTTCCAATGCGTGAGCTTTCTCTGTTCTTCTGAAAAGCCATCGTGAAGTCTTGGAAGCCTACCTCTAACTGAGCCTCCCCCTCCACATAATCATTGTGCCTTCCAGTCTCCAGGTCTTACACAGACAACCACATCCAGAGCAGCTGGCATTTAGCACCAATATCAATTATTTGACAGCATCCAGTCTACAGCTCTCAATGGCTCTACTTAAAGTTGAGTTGTTGATTGAAACTGCATCCATCATGGCTCCAGATTTAACGAGGAGCTCAAGAACATCCTTTCTTTTTATTTATTTATTTTTAAAATATATTTTATTGATTTTTTTACAGAGGAAGAGAGAGGGATAGAGAGCTAGAAACATTGATGAGAAAGAACCATCGATCAGCCGCCCCCTGCACACCCCCCACCAGGGATGTGCCCGCCACCAAGCCACATGCCCCTGACCAGAATTGAACCTGGGACCTTTCAGTCCGCAGGCCGATGCTCCATCCACTGAGCCAAACCGGTTTCGGCTGTCCTTTCTTTTTAAATTGTCACTCAAGGATATGTGCTGGTTGGGCTTTGTTTTTTTGTGGTTTTTTGTTTGTTTGGTTTTTGTTTTTGTTTTTTGAGAGAGAGAGAGACATGGATCAGTTGCCTCCCTTACTTGTCCTGACCTGGGACCGTATCTGCAACCTAGGTATGTGCCCTAACTGGAAATCAAACTCGCAACCGCTTGATGTACGGGATGACACTTCAACTAACCAGGGCACCCAGCCAGGGCACTCAGCAATATCTTGTTGGCCTGCATGGCATGCAAAACGAAGCAGAGCCCACAGAAGGTTATCTGTTGCATTAACTTTAGCCTTACTAGATAAGAGACATGCACAAGCAAAAAATACGGGTTATTCCAAGCACTGGAGGCTAAAAATGCTAAGCCTTCATAGGGTTTTATCAACCTGTTCAACTCTAAACCAAGGAAGCTCTGAGTAAAGTTAAACTCGGTCGTGATTTTTCTTGACAAGTGTCTGCATTACCGGACAGTTTTACTTTTGTGTACACATAGACATTTTGTTTAATTTCAAAAATCACTTAAGACCCCAGAGGTTATAATTTTGCAAAAATTAAAATCAAGGAAAATTATAAAACTAAGGAAAATTATAAAGTTAGAAGCTGATGAAATGTGAGTTATGTTATTCCATTTGGTCTCTATTTCTGCATGTCATGACTTTTTAAATGTATCTTCTTTACTAAAATTCTAAGCATTATACTGTATTGTTTAAAAAATGGCCCTGGCCAGTTTTTCTCAGGGGTTAGAGTATCGACCTGTGGACTGGAAGGATCGCAGGTTCGATTCGGGTCAAGGGCATGCACCTCGATTGCAGGTTTGATTCCCAGCCCAGGTCAAGGTGTCCGGGGCAAGCAACCAAGTGATGTGACTCTCTCACATTAATGTTTCTCTCTCTTTGTCTCTCCCCTTCCCTTCCATTCTCTCTAAAAAACAATGGGGGAAAATATCCTTGGGTGAGGATTAACGGCAAGAACAAAAAGAATGTTTGTGAATTTTTGTTTCCCAGATGAAGGGCTGATTAAACAGTAAAAATTACTAGGAGGGACATATTTTATGTCTTTCAAATTCCATGCAGTAGATATTTACTAAGACCTACCCTGTTTCCCCGAAAATAAGACAGTGTCTTATATTAATTTTTTCTCCCAAAGTTGCACTAAGTCTTATTTTCAGGGGATGTCTTATCTTTCCATGCGCTAGGTCTTATTTTCAGAGGATGTCTTATTTTCGGGGAAACACGGTAGTAGACTAAATTCATCCCTTGGTGGTTAAAGCATATGCTTTGTTTTATCAATCTTTTAAAATTTGTGAAGACTTGTTTTATTACCTGAATGTGGTCTATCTTGTTACTGACTAGTGCCTGCAGGCATCTCTTTTTCCATCCTTTTATTTTCTCAAGATATTTTGTGTGTGTGTGAGTGTGTGTGTGTGTGTGTGTGAGAGAGAGAGAGAGAGAGAGAGAGAGAGAGAGAGAGAGAGAGAGAGAACAAAACATGGATCAGCTGCCTCCTGCACGCTCCCTACTGGATCGAGTCCTCAACCTGGGAATGTGCCCTGACCAGAATCAAACTGGCAAACTTTTGGTGTGTGGGACTAGGCCCAACAAACTGAGCCATACCAGCCCAGGCTCCATCCTTTTATTTCCAACTTATTTGTGGCTTTGCATCTAAAGTGTGGCTCTTACAGACAGCATATAGTCAGATCATGTTTTTGATGCATTCTACCGATTTCTGCCTTTAATTGGAACATTTACATTAAATTACTGATAAGGATTTACATCTGCCATTTGCTATATATTTTTGCCTTACATCTTTTCTGTTCTTCTCTCTCCATTATTGCCTTCTCACTATTTTTATTCCTTTGTTGTTTCTTCAAATATTCTCTCTCTCCTCTCCTGTAGGAACTCTGTAATGTTAGTATGCTTGTTGGTGTCTCACAGGTTTTTGAGGTTCTGTTCATTTTTCTTTATTTTTAAATTTTTTTCCCTCCTTTCTGTTTCACAGACTGGGTCATCTTAATTGATTTATAGCCAGATTCTTTCTTCTGCCTGCTCAAATCTGCTTCTAAGTTCCTCTCATGAATATTTTGTTTTGGTTACTGTACACTTCAACTTCAGAATTTATATTTGGCTCTTTAAGAAAAAACAAACACCCAAGCTGAAACTGGTTTGGCTC